CAGAGACATCGGAGAAATAAGTGGCCGGTGCGATACGCAGTTGGTGTAAAGTGAGAAAACAGTTTTTCTTTCATTACATTAAACAGTTTTGCCGTTTCAATCGGGTATCTTTATTTTAATATAACATATTTAACGGCGGTATTAAAAGCTCCCACAAGTGGAGTCTCTCCTAGAACGTCGGGGTTATGATTTCGATTTGTGTTTCACAAAGTGCTTTATTCATGTGACTTACTTATCCTTATGTATATTGTACGTAGACAGGCCTTCGTTTCGCTGTCGTGTTTGGCAAAATTAATTGGGTGGTTATATAACGTGGAAGTGTATTAATATCTTAGTGACCTTTAAGCGTGTGTCATAATCTTTGCAGATATTAATTATTCAGGCGATTATACGTTATTGATTAGTTGTTATTGTGGCTTAATACTCATAAGAATTAAGTAGCTGTGGTTTAATAATGAAGTTACCCAAATTGGGTTGTGTTGTTGTTTTCTCTTCTCCTTTATTTGGTAAAGAATTGTGCTGGCTTTCATTGAGCCAGATTGGAGTAGCTGATTGCAAGTTAGCCGCAGTACTAGTTAACCAGATTTATGTATCTCGGGGTAGCATTCGCCAGTGAGGGCAGGAGGATATGTAAAGTTACTGTAATCGATCATACGAGCTCCGTAATTCGAAAGCTAAACCTACCTTTTGTGATAAGTAAGGATCTGAGCAGTAATGAAAAATTGTCTGTCAGCCTTCTCCAATTGTAATAACTGTTTTCAACGATACGAAGGTGCCGATATTGACCGGGTACTCTCCTAGACGGAAGTAGCAAACATTCATGCAGTAGAGCGTTGTAAGATCAAAGTAGCCAAACTTCGGAACTAGAAAATTCGGAATACTGCCTCTTGGCTCGATTCAGAAACGGTTATTTTAACAATTTTGAATAAAATCAAAATTATAACGGGCTATGCCTATTGCTGATTATCTTAACGAATAAAGAGCTATCAGCTTGATGAAGGCTAATTGTAGCTTTATGAGGCACTCAGATCACCGTACCTCTCGTTATTCAGACAATATTAGTTTTCTAAGGATTTACTGATGAAGAAAAATTCTTTTTGGGCATTTAAACCAGCATTCCCAGAGTTCGAAGCCGACCTCATGACTTCTGTGCCCTATATGACATGAGACACGCAAGACGAGCTGGGCCAGCCCTCTTCGCAAAGTCACATGACAGTAGAGCAAGCGTGTGAGTAGAAAGTGCCACCGTTGTGATGCCTGTTTCCCTCACAATCTGAGGAAGAGTTGGTGCTGTGCTGATCTCCGTTTTTAATCATCCAAGAACGCCCAGCTGTTTTAAGCTATATCTATCGATAGGAAAGAACTGTTATGTTTTCTTATTATCTGCCGCAGATATGAGAGGAAAACTTGCAGACAGTATCGCACTACGATTCGAGCGGGTCAGGTGACTACCACTGATGTGGAAGCCGAGTGGGAGCACGTTAATACGCTATACTCAGTGCTGCTGCCGAAATTTGTGGATTCAAACTGGATGGCCTGTCTCCTGGAGGTAGAAACAAACACCGCTGGACGTGAGAGGTACAGCTGGCAGTTAAAGGGAAGAATGCTGCATTCAGGAAATGGCTTGGAAGCAAAGAACCTTCTAGTTCGAACGATATGTTAAATCGCGCAAGGCGGCCGCGAAAGCTCTGGCGAAAGCCAAATCTGATTCCTGGGAGATGTTCGGTGTGGTACTGGAGTCCATTTTTCAGACAGCAAACAAGGTATTTTGGCAAACCATTCGCCGGCTCGAAGTGAAAAGAAGGACAGCTTAAGACTCTTGAAGGACAGATCTGGGCACCCGCTTACGGAGGATTAGGACACTGGAGAGAGTACTTTGTGCACCCGCATGTAAACTCGCCTGTAGAGCACCAGGAAACGGATACTGCTGTTTCTATAGATGAAATGATAGAAGCCGTGAAAAGCTTGAAAAGTGTAAAGGCTGCTGAGTTGATCAGATCCGCCCTGAAGTGCTGAAAGTATTAGGCGAACAACGCAAGTGCTGGCTTACACGTGTGAAAACTGCAGTGGCTACGGGGAGAACCCCAGCGGGCTGTTGAATGGGGCTGTATTACTCCTGTTCAAGGGGAGAGACCACAGGGAGTGCTCGAATTTCCTTATATATCCTCCCGGATTAAGTTTCTAACAGGTGCTAGAAAGAAGGCTCCGCGGAACAGCTTATTCCAAGATACAAGAAGAGCAGTGTGGCTTCCTGCCCTGTCGAAGCAGCTCTTATTATTTATTCGCCCTGCGCCAGATTGTTGAGAAATCGTGGGAGTTAGCCCATTCGGTGTACATATGGTTTGTTGACTTAGAGGAAGCCTATGGCCGAATCACCCTCAGCATTGTGAGCATGCCTGCGAAAATATAGGGTCGATGACCAGTTGCTACGGGACATCAATTTAGTATATTCTGAGAGCAGGCGCTATGTGAGCGTGTATGTTAAAATCTTTCAGCGTTGGCGCTGGTCTCCAAGGCTTCGTTTTTTCCATCTCTTGTTTGGATTCTCACGGGAATTGAACAGTCAAGCTCAACTAGGGCGATGAGTGTATCAGCGTAGGAGTCGTCAGTACAAGAAGGTTGCTGTTT